CTACACATACATACACGCACAAGCACACAGACACAGACACACACACACACACACATTCACACAAATATCTGTCCGTAATACAGTTCTTTTCTCCCTCTGCTCCACTGACTCGAGTCAAACAACACTTGACATGAATATTTAACGGTCGGAGAAGACAAAACAATTGAGAGTCGACTCCAGCGTTGTTATAAATTTACACTTTGATATTCAGTTTCTCCACTTTGGAGGATTTTTGTCGGCTCTTGTCTGACAAAACGGCTTCAGCTCCGTCTTGACACCGGACAGACTATTGAACCCTGTAGGAGTCGGAGACAACACGGGGAAGCAGATTTAAGATTGAAGGGCAAATCATTGAATAAATATTATCGAACTGTGCTAGCATGGTGCTGTCAGTGTCTTTGTGTTTGATTGATTTAGCGACTGGCTGGATTCAGGAGAAGGTTTCTCTCTCTGCTTTGTGTGCCTACCCACCCATGTGTGTGCGCATCTGTGTGTGCATCCACGTGTGGCAACATTAACAGACCGTACTTGTGCATCTCTGCTTTTCGTCCCTGCCTCTGTTGCTTTGTTCTGACTCTTTGTTCTGAGCTCACAATCATCTGTGTCTGTTAATCTCCTTTTTCTAAGGTCTGTTTTTTATCCTCCTCTTTTTTTCGGCCTGTGAATATACCAATTTCCACCTGTGCTTCTTCTTCCACTTCTTTTTCCCCTGGGTGAATTCACAAGTGCGTCCCAGCGTAAGTGCATTTGTGATGGAGAAGCGAGGGAGCGAAAGCATCAGAGACTGGAGAGGAACAGAACAGGGCGGAGAGGTGGGGAGTGGATGGGGGGGGAGTGGGGGGTAGCAGGTTGATTACGGTCGCAGGTCTCGTTGCTTGGAAACGGCGGGGACGAGGGATGCCAGGTTGCCTGGCGACCGGCACGATGCAATGACCAGCGCTGTGTGATGGAGCGGAGGGGAGGCGAAGACGGTAAATTGTCTTTGTGCCCCCCCACCCCCCAACTCTCCCACACACACACACGCACACAGACCTCCAACTCTCCCTGCTGTAAACGTTCTTCAAAGAGCAGGGGAGATGGTCTCTGCTGATATATTTACCATTCAGAGTGGCTGCTTTTCAGGGCGGACGAGCAGAATGGAATGAAATTGTACAAGAAAACAGGCGACAGAAATGTGTCAGCAGCAGCAGCAGCAGCAGCAGCAGCCGCCTGCTATATGGACTTAACCACACTGGCTTGCGTTGAGCCAGTTGAAAGTATAGAGATTATCATCTGCTCTGTGGGTCAAAATCGAGAGGCGAGAAAAATATTACACCATCAATATGCTTTACTCACCGCGACTGTAAACAGCCCTCCATCTAAAACACATTCCTGCCGCTGTAGCTGATGAAAACGCATTCACGTTGGGGTGTGCCTATTCGGTAGTTGATGGCATGGGGGGTCATGCATTATGGGTAAGGGGTCGAGCCGTGATTTGATTGGATAATCTATGGATTTAATATCTCATAATCCTCTGCAAAATCCCCTGCGGCATCACAGAGCGAAAAAGATTAAGCATGTGTAGATGTGTGTGCTCATGTCGCTGTGACCAACAGGAGCAGACAAAGTGTGTGTGTGTGTGTGTGTGTGTGTGTGTGTGTGTGTGTGTGTGTGTGTGTGTGTGTGTGTGTGTGTCAGTAATAATGTATGTGTGTTTAGTGTGACTTTATATAATGTGTGTGTTTGGAGATGGAGCGCGGAGGGAGAGAGAAATCAAACAGCAAAAGCACACAGAGAAAATGGGCTGTTGATCAGGCAGGTTGTGCCTGTGTGTTGTCTGTGCACAGTATGGGACTGTTTTTGTAAACAAGCCTAAGAGAGAAAAGGGGATGGGAGGAGGGGAGCAACAGGAGGAGGAGGGGAGAGAGCAAATTACTGTAAAGTGTTTGTTAGTGGTTTAGGCTTAGAGGGAGATATTTTCCTCCCTGCTTCTGCATCTGCTCTCGAGGCAGCGCCAACATTCAACAGGCACGAACGCTCCCTCCATCATCCCTCTTCATTTTTTTTTTTTTTGTGTGTGTGTGTTCGGAATCTTTCATTTTTCCTTCCCCCTCCTCCCTCACCCATCTAATCCTTCTATCTCTCGACCTAGAAGCACCCTTTGTCCTCCTCATTTGTTTTTCACCCGTCTCTCCTCTGCACGTCGTTCAGGGCAACCTTGTTTACCTGATGTGGGGTTCTCATCACCGGGGTTGTCATGACGATGGCCATGCGAGCGCGGCCTTCGTCAGAGGCGGCGGGGCCGTGTTGCCGTGCTGATATGAAGTGGCACGGCGTTGATGCCTCCACTTCTCGCTGTTTTCCCTCTTGTATATTCTAATTCCAATCTCCTGGGCCATCTGCTGCTTCTCCTTATCACCGCCACCACCGCGGCCTTCACTGTTTGTCTTCCTGCACTGAAATATGGGCCATGGGATTTTTTACAGGCGTCAGTCAAACATGTGATCAGTCAAAGATGTCACATTAAACTGCTGCCATGAGGTTGTAGCATCATCTGTAAACCCTTAAATCAACTCTCAGATAATATCACTGTAGATTATATTTTATCTTTGCACTGATCTAATCTGACTCTGGTTTTATTATAGATTTGGAGAATTACTCTGTATTCAGTGTTTGTGTAGCATGTACACAAAAATGTGGCAACACAACTGAGGTCTTGATACCAAGGTTTTGTTCCTTTTGGCTCTAAGGACATTTTAGCAACTGGACATTTACTCATTTTTACTTAAAAATGAAAAATGGACTGGTGTATGTGGTCATATTTATTTAAATTCAGGTATAAGTCACATCCCTTGATGCGTATGACCATGTATGTGTTATTTTGGTGCAATAACAAAGAAACTGCCCCAATCTATCAGTAACAGAAACAAATATTATGTATCCTTCACCACCATCCTTCATTTTTATTTCATCTATTATTTAGTTGTTGTTGTTTAAAGCTGCTTTCTTTGCTTCCATGTAAAATCTGAATCCTTGAATTTTTGTTCATCTAGTTTTTATACAATGTTGAGTTTACCTTTTTATTTAGTAAATGAAAAAAGAGCATTATGATTAACTAATGTGACAAACACATAATAGAGGGATCCAGTACTTTGAAAATATACATTTAAATAAAAGATTGTTAAAAGAAAAATGAGACTTAAGTTACATGCAGTTTAATATTTAACACCCTGAGCATGAGGCAAAAACATAAAACAAGAATACAAATCAAATTGAATGAATATATAATATTGCACCGTGGTAAATAACACTGAGTTCTGCACAGACTGCTACACTGATATATTCTGTACTGTGGGTGTACAAGTGCAAAATAACATGAGAAGTGATTGGAATAATGGTAAACAAGACAAAAGGCAATGAATGGAGCCTTTTATAATGACAAAGGTGTTATTTGTTGAGAGCTTTCATGCCAAGCGTCACAAGTACATGGATTTTAAGCTCAAGGGCTCAGTCAGAATGATCCTTTCAAAAGAAATACATGTAATTTTATGTTTAAGGACAAAACTGAAACTCTGATTTAAGATGAAATTAGTATTCAGTGATTGCAGGAGCAGACCTCCATTTGCTTGAGTGATTGGAAGATGGTTTTGAGACTTTGGCCCTCCATCTCTTCTATCACCCGCCTAATTGGTGCAATCAATTGGACGCCCTCAGTGAGGGGACGAGGGGACGAGGGGGCCCTCTGCAGCAGGTGTTTCAGCTGCTGCTCCAGTTCAGTGCGTTGAGACGGCGGTGTTTGTGCATGCGGCCCGGCCGAGCGCGACCGCAGCCACGATCAATAATGTCTCCTGGTGACCGATCACATCCGATCAATCAGTGACACGAGAACAGTGACTGGCCGAAATGTCACCAGCTCCATAATTAAGACCTTCATTAAGCCACAGTTAACAGAGTGTCACTCTGCCGCTCTCACCTCGACTCCTCACCTCACCCATCCCCTCCCTCACACACATCGCCCCCACCTCCATCCTTTCCTCCATATGCTCCTCTCCTTCCCCCTCAAACCCTCTCAATCCCACCCTTCCTACTCCTCTTTGCCCTATTCTCTTCTTTATTCCATTCAATACCTCTTTTCACTGTTTTCTTGCTCTTTACATTTCAAAGACGAGGCTCCGGGAAACTGATGTGTGCACATTTTCATATAGGGGGCTGTGTTAAGTAAATGGGAGGACAATTGTGCAGAAAGAAATGGGATTTCAACAACTTGTCTTTTGATGAATTATGAAAAGGTCACCTAATCCTCCTCTGTTGTGTGTGCTCTATTTTTCCTTTGTCATTCTTTTATTCTCTTTTTTTCTCTAGATATGATGCCTTTCTTTCTAACCCTGTATACCCCCGTCTGTTCCTGTCAGGCTCAGAATCTCTCACTACTCTGATGCTGCATGCTTCTGTAATCCAGATTAGCTGGCGAGTGTTCTTAATCTTATCACTTCCCCAATCCTGCGTGGGTGTGTGCTTTTCCTGGTTTGGTGTGATAGGGGGGGAGAAGGAACGGCAGGCATCGGCATTAGAGCCGATTCTGAGAGACTCGGGGAGACGAGGTGGAGAAAAAGAGAGAGAGAGAGAGAGAGAGACTGTGAATGTAATATCCCACATATCAGTGTCAGTCGTGGTCTAGTGAAGCAGAGTTATCAAAAAAAAGGAAAAGAGAAAATTACTGGGGGAAACGTAGGAAGCTGACTGACAAAGCACAGACATCCATACATGCATACATGTGTCATACCATTACGTCATGTTAAAGCAATAATAGCTGCGTTACATGACCTCTGTACATGTCCTCCTCATGTTCACCAGACAACAGTGATCACAGTTTGTTACGAGCACCAGGACCTGCCAGTTATTTCTAGTTTATAGCGTTTTTTTTTGCAGTTGTATAAATTCTCTATTTTACCTCTTGTTCATGGTCACTACCCCTGTCCTATATTTAAACTCCCTGCGCTGTGTGGCCTCTGTCTTTTCAGATGAACCGTCCAATCCAAGTGAAGCCGGCTGACAGCGAGAGCAGAGGAGGTAAGAGACACCTGCCCCCCCCCCCACACACACACACACACACACTCGGACACACAGCACCTGTTCAAATAACAGCACCTTCATAGTGTACACCATCGTCTCCCATAGACACTTAAACTTGCTTTTCATGCAGCAAGTGGACAAAAAACCCCAATTTATTTTAACAATATCTTAAAATGACTCTGATGACGACACAAGAACTAAAACAATCAGTTGAAGTTTCCACAAAAAACGTCCTCAGATGTTTGTTGCTCCCTGCAGTCACCGCTTCAATCAAACAAGGATTTCCAGAGTCAGTGTTGGATTCAGCGACCTGTTAATAACGAGTGTTTTGTGAATGGCACGTCTCCCAATCTCAACACCTTTAAAGCCGCACTATTGGACAGCTACAAGTGTTCTTCAGTGCTGGATTAGTTCTGCTGCTTCTACAGACGCCACTTCTATGTAATCAATCCGTCGCCTGATCAGTCAGGATTAGATTCACACTGCATCCAACATTCGTGAACACAGTATTAAACATTTCAGCTGTTTCTGTTATTGTGTATTTATTCTCATTTACCACAGTTCATACGTATGTTGCATTGTTGTCGGCCGTTTAATATGGAATGAGATGATGTCGTTGTAGCTTTCGGGTTCAAAAAGGCATAAGAACCTATTTGAAACTGGAAACCTGGTTGAGATACAGCAGCTACTTCATCACACATTCATCTCTTTTGTCCGTTATGAGTAAAAGATTGATTCCGGAGTGTCTGAGGACATTTTGATGTGACACAATAGGAAAAATGTCGGTGTAAATAAAACGTATGAAGGCTGAATTTTCAAATTTCAGCATCTGATATTGTGAAGGACTTACTGATTACAGTGGTCAGTGTGTTATTGTGTTCAGCAGACAAGCTCGGATATTTGAGTCTGTCAAACCACAAGAAATGATCAAATTCTACTCTATAGAAACCCCCCCCCCCCATCTACACACCTTTTTTAATAAGACAACAGGTTCAACCTCTATCTTGTGAAACATTTGCATCCATATAAGAAAACAACAAAGACAGTGAATCACTCTGAGTGAATCTGTATCTCAAGCCTGAGGTCTGCAGCAGATGATTTTCCTGCAGTGTTTTTTTTCGCTCCGGTGTGTTCTGCAGAAATATAACAAGCACAAGCATTTGTAGTGGATGGGCTGAAACATGCAGGAACGCTGCTCTGATCCCTCACAGACATGGACAGACGGAGCAGCTTCTCTGACAACACAGAGGGCGACAAACATTTGAGTCACCGCCAGATGCTGTTTGTTTGTGGAGATTTTCATGTTACTGCACTCTGGTGGTGTTCTGAAGTACAGCAGGCCAGCGTCCACCCTGCTTTGTCACTGCTCATCACACTGTTGCTTCCTTAATACTCCTGCATGCATGTGTGGTGACATGGCACTTCTCCCTTCTGTCGCCGCCCCCCCCTCCTCTCTCACTGCCTGCATCACCTCCCTCTTAAAACACCCACTCCCATTTTCTCCCTTTGTTTTTATTCTCACTCACACTATCCTCCCCTCCCATCCTGGTGATCTCCTTTTCCTTAGAAGACAGGAAGCTGTTTGTGGGCATGCTGGGCAAGCAGCAGACGGACACCGACGTGAGGAAGATGTTTGAGCCATTCGGCAGCATAGAGGAGTGCACGGTGCTCCGCGGGCCTGACGGTACCAGCAAAGGTAACGTCATGAACACAAGATGCAGGATAAAACAGGCTACTGCATCAGCAGACACGAGGCATGAAATTAAAGCATTGCACAGAATAAAAACAATGAGAAATAAAATCCCAGCCCCAAATCATGTCCACATCCTGGACTGCTGTGTCTCTACTACATTACAGACTCAATCATCTGTCCTCCACCCATTCCTTTGAATAAAACTTCATGTTTTTACTAAATGGTAATAGAGATACTCTCATCAGTTGGTCATCTGTTCCAAAGGTTTACCAGTTCCAAAGTAAATACAAAACTGGACTATACCAATGAATTTTGAATATTCTCCATGTTGGGCTGATGTGTAGGTGTGTAGTGCTTTGGCATTGAAGCATTTAGAAACACAACTTCACAATTATTCCCTGAGAAAATGCAAAAATTCTGAAATATAATATAATTTCAATCTTAGCACCCCCTTTTCCAGATTTGCACAAACAATTTATTTCTTTACTGACCCATACTGCATCCCTCCGCCAAGTTTCATGGAAATCAGATCAGTTGTTTTTGTTAAATCTTGCTCCAACCCAAATAATAAATATATTTTTTTAAATGATGCAGCAGTAAGATGCTTTTGGAAGCTTTACCTTTTCCATAATTTCCCAAACTCCTGTTTCTCACGTGTCCTTGAGCTTTTCTCTCTCCTGAATCGAATGATTGAGTCCAGATCACGACTGTCAACATGACACTGCCTTCATTTAAATGTTTGTATTTTCATCCTCCAGCCCTGAGAGTTAAGCCTGGGACACGTTACCATCACGTAAACGTAAATTGCTATCGTCACTAACAACAACGCTCATAATATTTGCCGTGTAAATCAACGTCCGGCGACAGTTCAAACACAGATGCTAGATTTTTCTGCGTTTGTTGCATGAGCCATGACTAATGGTACAATAGGTTTTATGGGTCATGGCTAATGATGCGTTTGGAGGTTTACGGGCTGTGATTGATGAAGCAATGAATGTTTTGTGGACCATGTGTAATGATGCCTTAATAACTGATGAAGCACTAGATGTAAGACGGCTCCTAATGTATTTTTAAAGCAAAGTCGTTTCTTCATACCGGCCCTGTGAGAGTGTGTGCGTTTGTGTGAGGCCACGTTTAATGGTGTGTCATTTTCATGTAGGGTGTGCATTTGTAAAGTTCCAGAACAACGCAGAGGCCCAGGCCGCCATCAACGCTCTGCATGGGAGTCGTACTTTACCTGTAAGTCCCCCCCACCACGCAGAAACGCACACATGCACAGAAGCCACATAGCTGCTTACACATGCTTACACACTCACATGCTCCACATCCAGTCATTTAGGCTCTCAACATGGTGACTCAGCCCATAGTCACAACTTCTCGTTTTTGTCCCCCTCCTCCACACGCTGAATCGAGGACAAAGTCTTTGTAAAATGTGCTCATCTGTTGTTTTTTTTCTTTCTGCTGGAGGTGATTTTCTCCTGTGCTTTGGTGCAGGTTCTCTAAATTAAAAAGAAAAACGGATTTTATGTAGAAAATTAATATTTATCTCATGGTTTTTTGTTTCATATGAGCATTTTTGTCATTTTAGCTTGATTTTATCTTCACTGTTGTCTAATAGATAATATGTCATAGAAAGTGTAAAACTAAAACTCTTTAGATTTTATAACCAGTTATTTTGGAAAGAAATGCAAAGTGACACAGAATTCTTAGGTCCCTGGTTGGACTTGACCCAGAGACGTTATCCCCTAACCCACCAGAACATCCCGTGTTATTCCTTGTTTTATCTTCACTGATTGTTGATGTTTTCTTCTTGATGTTGAAAAGGAGTTACGATGGTCCGCGTTACCTCCACAGGGCGCCTCGTCCAGCCTGGTGGTTAAGTTTGCCGATTCAGAGAAGGAGCGAGGGCTCAGGCGGATGCAGCAGGTGGCCTCTCAGCTGGGCGTCATCAGTCCCATGACCCTGCACCTCGGGGCATACAACGCCTACACACAGGCGGTGAGGAACGCATACACTTTACCTTTCACGAGGACAAACAAACCCACATTTTGGTTTTTTGTTCAGTTTGTTTTTATCCTCCCGGACTCCTCTCGTCTCCCTGATGGTAACTCCAACTCAGTATCAACCCTTATTTAAATAATTAGAAAGAGACCATGCATGATTTGTTAACAAAAGGTTGGCAGGCCCTGAATCACCAGTTGTTTTCCTTATGTAGACTAAAGTAAAAGCTGATGTGACATAAAGCTAAAATTACATGACTCAAAATATCCTCGAAGAAAAGATACAAAACCAATGTTTTGGATAAAGCAAACCTTACTCAACATGACATGTTCCCTGTGATGAGAAAAACGAGGAGTTTTAACATCACACAAGACGGCATTACCGCTCTCTTCTTTGCTAATTGACCGTTTAGTGCAAATGGTTTTAGATTTGGCTCATGAACATTTGTTCAATTTGTGATGCTTAAAGAGGCCTGACAGCATTTTTACTCTGCAGTGTGTCTGTCCGTCACACAAATCACGAACAGACACATCAATATCGAACATAATGTACAATTTCGGGTTCCTTTTGAAAACTGCCCTGTTGAAGAAATGTAGTAAGTTATTTTTAACCTCACAGTTTAGAGCAGGAACACGCTACATGATTCGAAGACAGATTATTACCTTGATTATAAATACTGTGAAGCGTCTGCACTGGCTTTCACAAACAGAGCAGGTCTCAGAACAGTCACCAAGGACAGCTGCTCTGTAGTATGTTGTGTAAAGAAAAGATATATAGTGACTCATGATCGAGGTTTAGACTCGAGCCAACGTAACGTGATGAAACATGTTGGGTTTTTATGGCTGGAGCCAGTTACTTGAGCTGGTTAATGAACATAAATAAATATCTGATGTTGACTCCTTTCACAATATATTTGGATATATTGAAGTTCTTTACTTAACCGCCCTGAGTTTATACTCACGCACTCACAAAAACACATCCTCCCTCTCTACTCTCTCCTCTTCTCCTCTCTCCGTCCTCCAGTTGATGCAGCAGCAGGCCCTGGTGGCTCAGTCGGCCTACCTATCTCCTGTTGCCACGGTGGCGGCGGTTCAGATGCAGCAGCTCGCCGCCCTCAACCCCAGCAGCATCATTGCCACGCCGATCGCATCCATCACCCCCTCCTCAGGTAATGAGAGGCAGGGATGTCTGGCTCCGGCCGGCCTTGATTAGATTTCCACCTGAAATATGAGGACAGTTACACAAGGAGAGGTGGACCCAAGAGCAGGAAATAACAAACATATATTATGTTGTTTTAAAAAAAATATTTCTCTGATTGTGGGATGTTAGTTGAGTACCATGAACCCTGCATGTAGAATAGTTTATATTCTATACATGCAGGGTTTGAAGCAAATGTCAATAATTGATATTCGAGAATTTTTGAATTATATTAATTGTTCTTAACATATATTTTGAGAAAAATCTCTTCCATTTGATTTTAATTTCCTCAAACATTGCTTTGGCTTTTCTCCACGACTCATATATTTGTAATAAACTAATATCTCAGTAGAGGGACTGAGTGTGCACATCCAGGCAAAACATGAAGGTGCAGGACAAAAGGTGATTCACCACAGAATGCAAAAGAGTTGGACGACGCACTGTTCCCAATAAATCATTTGAATCTCTAATAGGGCGACACTGGGAGCAGTCTGCATCTGTAATATACTAATGTCTGATTGGGATTTATCAGTTGAGCTTGTTAGAAGTTCAATAAACCTTTTTTAATTTCAGTTCACTGCTGTCTACACCGTAATATTTCCCATCAACACCTCACTCCAAAGTCTTAAAGCTAATATGCTGAAACATATGAGTTGATAAACAAAACTGGAAATGTATTTTGGTTGATGATTTCAGCAAATGTTTGTACTTATCTTTTCCCTGTTATTAATTTATTGTATTAATGTGTAAGTAAATATATGTGCAGGTACCAGCACTCCACCCTCCATGGCAGCCACACCCGTTCCTGCTCTGCCTCCACCAATCGCATTGAACAGCTACGCCTCTGTGCCAGCTCCGCCCAACGGCCAATCAGCAACCGAGGCCCTGTACACCAACGGGGTTCATGCTTATCAAGGTACATTCAACACATCATATAAGTAAAGATCATATCTTCCATAGATTCATTGGCTTCTTTCTTTGACGAGCAGTAGTGAGGCTCTAATTAAGAGGAAATGAAATGAAGCTCTGAATATTATTTGGAGAGTAGTGATGAGCTCCTAATAGCATTTAGGATTCTTTTTTTGTGTGTGTGTGATATACAGCAGTTGGTGACAATATGTTTTATTGCTTCACAGCTCAGAGTCCTGTCCTGGACCCTCTTCAGCAAGCTTATACAGGCATGCAGCACTACACAGGTGAGCCTCACAGTTCAGGACAAAGCTATAAATTGAAATGAAAACTGACATTTATTTATAGCAATGCATTGATGTACGCGTCTTGCTGCTGCGACTGATTATAAGCTGCATATATACGACTTGAAATGTCAAATGTAAAACCTAATTTCAAATGTACAAACAAACCAATCATCAGAATCACAAATTCGTTTCACTTTACATGGAATTGAACTACCCGGCCTCAGATTTGTTCCTAGAAATAACTTTTGTGTAACCAGAATGCAAAACAGATTTATGCAACATAATGGATTACAGCTACCCTTGCACTCCCCGACGACACAACACTGCATGCTTGAGTGGAAATCTACATCCAAAGTCAAAACATGCACATATATTACCAAATGTAAATAACCCTTATCTCTATAGAATGAGTCATCTGTAGCAAACCAGATGCATAACATAGCAGATCTGTGGGTTGGAGTGCAGCTCTGTCAGATGTTGTTTTAAGTAGAAAAATGATTAGTTTGCAGTGTTCTGTTTGCCTCATCGCTGCTCTCCGCTCACCTGTTCCTCCTCTCTGACAGCCACCTACCCTGCTGCCTACAGCCTGGTGGGACAGCCCTTCCCCCACCAGCCCACACTGGTGGCTCAGCAGCCGCAGCAGCCGCAGCAGCTGCAGCAACGGGAAGGTAAACTTACTTAGCTGTGCGCGAATGTGGAATAATCATATCTTTAGAGACACATTCCAGTGGTTTTACACATTTGATCCCTTTCACCACGAACCACATTTACTTTAGATAACAGTTTATCATTTTTTCAAACAAAGCTCCCATGTTTCATTTCAACAGACTTTATTAAATGATATCATTTACACCACAGTTAAGATAAAATCTCCATATGGCTGCACAATCATTTCATTTATGGACTTATCTGTCCAGCATACTTTTGACAATTTGTCTTTCTAACAGTCCAAACAGAAAAAAAGACAAAAAAACTACCTTTGCTCGAAAAACAATTTGAATTTCTGTTTTAAAAATTGATGCAGCTTTGCTGAATTGATGAAATCACTTAATATGAAAGCTCTTATCAAAATTATAATAATGTCATGCCAACAATGGCTAAATGTAGTGCAGACCTTCCTATTTATTGAGCTTTAACAATCATCTGTGATGCAACTCAAAGTGAATCCTCACTGTACTGGACAGTACAACTGTCTGATTCCTGAGCTTCTTTTTCTTTGAAAAAAAATAGAACATAAATCCTCCATAATTATTCAATTTTGCAAACAGACAGAAGATCCAGTCTGTGAAGTTTCCACTTTTAATATGTCCTTAAGTTACTGTTTCCTGAAACATATTAATTTTAAATGCAGATACAGACGTGTTAAAATTAATTAAATGACTGGAACGGCTTCTCTAATATTTGATTTATTCCCTTGCTCTTGTCGTGTTTTTTAGTTTTATTTTTTATCAACCTAACTTTTCAAGTGTTCCTGAACGCTGCAGTTTTAACTCCTCTCTGAACCCGTCCTGTCTTGTCGTGTCATTTCCGCGTCCTTGTCTCTCTCCCGTCTTTGCGTTCAGGACCAGAGGGCTGTAACATCTTCATCTACCACCTGCCACAGGAGTTCACTGACTCTGAGATACTGCAGATGTTCCTGCCCTTTGGAAACGTCATCTCTGCAAAGGTGTTTGTTGACCGAGCCACCAACCAGAGCAAATGCTTTGGTGAGTCACAGTGATGCTAATAGGAGTGATAATTTCAGCGATGGTTTATTTTTACCTTGTGGCTTTTAGCATCTTTCTCTTTTCTGTGACAGGGGACACATTTCACCATGTAATTTTACCTTTACTTGCTTCCACACTTTTCCCCATAAATGGTGCTGCTGTTGCCGCAGTATGAATGTTTGTGTTCACCTCTTTCATTTCCTCTTTTCTTCCTCAGGTTTTGTGAGTTTTGACAACCCGTCCAGTGCCCAGACTGCCATCCAGGCCATGAATGGCTTTCAGATCGGCATGAAGAGACTGAAGGTGCAGCTGAAGAGGCCCAAGGATGCCAACAGACCTTACTGAGCGAGGTGCGTCACTGCACATTGACTGAAAAGTGGGTCGGGGAGGGGATGATAGACAGCTAGAAATGTGTCTGGAAGTTAAGGAGACAGAGTGGATGTAATTGGGGGCTCAGTACTTAAATGGCTATCTTTCATGTGGAACAGAGGAAGTCAATAGCTCTACAGTTGATCTTTACTGAGGTGGCAGCACTCGTAGAAAAACATCCATTTTGAATACAGTTCAAGGATCAGAAGAAATGTTGTGTAAACGTGGCTCCTTCTCTATTGCTCTGTACACAGAGACAGTTTTACTGAGAAATTTAGAGACTTTACCTCGGCTCAAATGTTTTGTCTAACCAGTGTTCTGTCGCAGGGTTGAATGCCAACTACTGTTCGTCATTAATTTTTTGTTTTACTTTTCATTTATTGTTTTTGTGCTGTGCCATATGCCATTTTTCCTGAAAAAAAACATCACACCACTCTCAAGACTGTCCCGTCCATACATATATCGTGGAGACGTGCGTCGCTATGGCTACGGTTGCCTAGCAACCGCTAAAACCTCCCCCCTTCCTTCTCACTGCGTTGTAAGTTAATTGGCCTGTGTTGGTTGCTGTGGCGATATTGCCTGTGATGGTTGCCATTAGCAATTTTTATTTTGGGCCGTTGCCTTGATTCACCATGCTCAACTGCATGGCGGGTTACTGTGGCGACCATGAACTGTGTTTGGTGCGTTGTGAGTTTCCTCTTATTATTTTGTCCTGGTTTTTAATCCTTGCAAACACTGATCAATAACTGTCACTTTACCTCAGCATCTGTAAGTAATTGATTATCATGACAGCAGGCTAATTTAGCTCTTAGCATTGAAGCTTTTAGAAAAAAAACAGCATGTCCATCAAATATGGATAGAATTTCTTCCTTTTAGACTTTTTTGCTTTTGATTACTTTCCTTTTTGTTGTCTGTCATGATTATCATTCTTACACATCCCCTCTGTTTAGTTGGTTGGTGTGGTAGTTTTCGGTGATGCGGGTTTTTTGTTTGGTTGTAACTCAAATCCAAGTGACTTTGTGCCTGAACTTTGTTTGGTTTTTGTGCGATTGAAAATGTACTGAATGTGCCCCTGTATATGGTCGACAACATAGTATCTGTGTTTGAGTGACGTGTGCGTGCGTGAGACAAAGAAGGCGTTTGTTGTGCGTTTATATTTGCGGGACTGTTCTGTATTGAGTAGATGTGAAAAAATATTTGTGTGTAAGTGTGTGTGTGTGTGTGTGTATGTGTGTTTATGTGTGTGTTGTACCAACTGAGACACTAACCTTACTTTAGAAGGTTTTGGGTAAAGCTGTTTGGTTCCTGTGACACGTGCTGCTGGCTGAGGAACTGCATTCCTCTGTAGGAATTCTGGATCAACAAAAAACATAAGAAAGAATCAGCAAACATAAGAATAACATTCAAATATCATTACTCAAATATCCACTTCATATCAAAAGTAAGCATAAATTCAGGGTGTCTTTTGTTCGGGGTATCTGCAGGTTATTGACAACATGAATCAATTATAAAGCCTTTGAATGTCTGAAATTCAGTATTTAATGAGATTGAATTTTTTCCTTCAGATATATATCAAAACTCAAGGATGTTTCTTTACCTGAAAATCGATTTTACAGGTTTTAAATCAGGTTTAGGCTGAAAAATAAAGGCTAAAGTTTCTCTTTAATACATTAGATAAACACTTAATGAAGTCATACATTTTATTTCAATTTAAACACCCCTTAACATACAGTGCCCCCTACCCATATATATTCAAACCCCACACTCCATGTACTCATGGATGCAACTTTATACTACATGTGCTTTATTTATGCATAATTTTATTCCAGCGTCCTGCAAATTCACTGAGACCTTTTTGAAATCCTTAGAAATGTTGGTATTTTTCAAAGTGGGTTGAACAAAGTAATGACTGCTTGTTAAGGGGTTTTTAATTGATCATCTGACATTAAAATAATGTATTAAAAATGTTAATTAGCTGTTTCTGGTACCTGCAGATGCCCAGTTTGCTGCAACCTGCATCACAAAGAAACTGGTGGATGATTTGAAATACTGAACCTTAAATTTTACCTCCCTTAGGAACTCAAGTTTGTTCAATGGCAAGGTTCTGAATATTATTAGAAAATATTTTCAAAAAATGTGGAGAGTTTATCTCCTACCAGAATTCCTATTGTGCATGTTCCGAATCAATTTGCCTGCCAAAAGACATGACCAAGTATTTTCTAAGAACGTGCATACACTGCAGCAGTATGACTGTCACCATTTGAGTTGCATGGACACTAGTTCATTACTGAGACTCCCCCTGAGGCATCAGTGCAAGCAGTGTGTATTCCAGACACCACTCCACTTCCAAAGTCTTAAATGTTTGTGTTCTCTCTCTGTGATTTGATTTAAAATACTTTGTGCTCTTTTTTTCTCTTTCATCTCTTCTCCACCTCCAGGAAAACCTAAGAGTTCAATCAAGAAAAACCACTTGGGATGTCCCAGCCTTTTTTGGTTGTTTGACCAACCGTATAGCACAGGAGCAACACAAAAAGCAGTATCACATGTATGCGCTTACAAAAATACAGCAGTAATATCAGCAACGATCTCCAGAATCCACAATATCAGAAGTGCTCCAGATGTTCCTACTGTATCATTCCACAGCTGGATTCATTTATATTATGTACATACTCTATTGTCAGCAACAAGATCTACATGTTAAGAAAAAGCATATCACTGATGTTATTCTACTGAACAGGGTTCTACTGTATAGTGTGATTTGTGGTCTATGGCGTCAACAGAAGGCCAGTCTACACAGTCAGAGGCTAAAGAAAATACTATTCTGTACGATTACCATTGGTAATATTGTTATGTAGAGTTAGTTTTATTATTTATACGTAAATTAAAAAAATCATGGGGTAATGATGCTGGAAGAGAAATGGATGTCCTCTCAGTGTACATACCTTGGTTTTCAAAATGGAGGTAAAAGGACTTAAAAACGTCACGAGTTAAGATTCTCTGCTGCCACAACTTTTCAAAATTAACAAAGCGGAAGGAAGGGCTGAGAATTTTTCTATCTTGATTTTTTACGTTTAATTTATTTGGTAATCAATTTGATGAAAGGGGGGAAAAAGATGTGAAAATTTCTTTTTTAATTTAAGAGGGAGAAAAAAGAGGATTCCTGCGGTCTTAAAGACAATGAACACACTTATAGAGTTTTTAATTACATAAATGTACCTATGGAAGTAAAAAAAAAAACAAACAAACATAATGTTTCTTTATTTATTCTCTACAATCGCTGTTTTAAAACATATGTCTTTAAAAGAAAATAAAGTACAATTTAGAAAAAAAACGTCTCTTGGTATGATGTCATTTAACAAATGATGTTGCCCTTTTTACAGCGTCACAATTTAGAACTGACTTGTTTTTATTCATTTGTTTAAACTGATTTTAGAAAAGATAAAGATTTTCTTCAGAGTGTTGCTGTGTGATCATAGGGGAGTTTGCTGCCCTCTACAGGCCTGAAGTGGTGTTGCGTAAAGTGGAAAACATCTGTACTTGAATCCTGGTTGCATCTAAACCTCTGGACCAAAACTTAATAAGGTGAAATGATTGAAATATCGTTGTGTTTCTTTTTTGCTATATCATTTTACTAAGTTAGAAATAGACAAAGCCATTAGAGTTAGGACACACATATATATATAAATGTTTAGCTATTGATAATCCCACTTTTGTAAGCTGCCACCACGATTTACTGTGTGTGCATATGTGTCTGATCAGGATGGAAAAGGCTGAGGAGTGCAGTGAGTCAGTCTGTCACAGCATGTTGGGTTTGGTCTGATCCGTTCAAACATGCCTCGTCCCTCCTCAGCATGCCTCTGTGTTAGGAGTGCTGATTAATGCCACACAGACGTTTGGCAAGGGTGGGGGGTGCTATGCTGTTGACACTGCTGCTGCAATTTGAGGAGCAAACAGCTGCACAAGAATGTAAATACTCAAATGTAAGCTAATATTTGGTAACTTAGCCAATGTGTGGCTAAGGAGGAGCATCTTGGCGCCCATTAGAATGGATCTGTATCTAATAAGAATACACCTGTAAGTTCACCTTTATGGCCGAATAAAGACAACCATTAGAAATTAATGAAATCACCTTCTGGGACAGCGTGGCATAGCTTTTGACGTCATAGTGATCATGGTGCCGTGGTATCGAGGTCCCACTGATCCACAGAGTGATGAAAACTACCTCAAATGACAGAAACCACCCTGAGAAAAATATATTTAATGTGTACTTTTGACCTTTTTGTTTGGTCCATGTCCCATCAACTAACATGCAGGAAGTGGGTTTTTTTGACTGCTACTACAGCCAGCCACCAGATATTGGCACTGGGATTTAGATGGGTTAGAGGTTCTACTGGTCAGACGCATTCAAATCAACTAAATAATGTCTTGAATGGTCTGGTGTGGAGTGGTGCCTTGCAAGAGGCAGGACACACAAACTGAAGCCGGACTCAACAATAACACAACGCACAATATGCCACTCCTGTAGCCTTCATCGAGCTGTTTGTTATTATAAACCTTCTGCAAAAATGTTTGAGGTCTCGCCCCCACGTCATTGTCCACAGTACCTCCATGCTGACACTTTGAAACAGCAAACGGGGGGAAGCCTCAGAAGGAAACTTTGCAGCAGCCGAATCCAATACAATTGAAGTCAATGGTGACCAAGACTTCAGATGTGATAAAACAACTGAAAAAACACAAAATGCCTCCACACTCCTCGACATTCACGTTCATTTAACAAGCCGCCGCTGAGTGGGTGATCTCAGGACACTATCCTGCCTCGTCGTCCCTCCCTGTGTGGCACTAACCTCCCCTCATACAGAGTGGAAGTGTGCGTCACTTTAAAACACTCTTCACCCGCCCACTCACACTCTCTTACATACAACCATAACATCCACGGTTCGTGGCCGCTTCATCCAACCAGGCTCCACCGCGAGGGAGGCACCGACAGCCAGGGGAAGAGCTCCGCCGGACACCAGACCCATGTTCGTCTAAAAAAAAAACCAACCCAACGGAGAAACTGCGACACGGCTGTTTGAATGAGTCCAACTTGAGTTTGAGAGAAAATGGCGAAAACTACTTAAAACCCACACCAGGAAGAGCGGCCGGACATCATCACGTTACCTGGGTTCACGGAGCTGAGGTGAGTCTACGAGCACCGTTACTTCCCCGCTTCAACTCCGTGGAAGCCTCATGTCACACGCACACCACCGCCGGCTACTATTTTTAGACTCCACCGGGGGAGTCAGGCTCCATAAAGGGGCTTTCGGTGAAGTTATACCCGGAGGGGGGAAAGCCACCAACCCCCCCCCCCCTCCACTCCCCAGCCGTTATTAAGGAGACGTTAGCCAGCAAACAGGCCTCATGTCGGGGATGTTTGTTTAGGAACGGCCGCGATAAGAGAAGGTCGCGATGCCATTCGAATAAATAACTAATACAACCCGACAGTTCCTCTTCGGGGGGGAAACAGACGCGCCGGAGCGTCAGTCGCCATTTTTTTAACCGTTTATGGTGCAATTTGTGTTACGCTCGAAAAAGTTTTCGACTGGAGATGTCGCTACGCCGAGTTCGCCCCCTCGGCTCTCTCCACACAGGGGGGGGGTTGTTCAAGGTGTCGGTGCTCGGCCCGTGTGTGTGCGGGGGAACACACGTGAAGTGTTGAGTTAGTTTTGAGTTGTTAACTTTCGCTCGAAGCTCCATCTCAGGCTCAGACCGCTATGTCCGGGAGACTCCCCGCTTGCGCACTCTCAGCCACTCCCTGCACGAGTTTACGCAAACGGCGTAGACCGCAGTGACAGATACGAGAAGTGAAAGAGTTCAGCAGCTCCGGAGTCGAGCTCACGAGCTTCAGGAGAGACAGAGGCTCTGACGCGGGGTTGCATGTTCGATACCAGGGCTTGTCTCTGTGTCCTGTTCCCAGGTCAGATCAACTTACATATCACTCATTCTCCCCCGAAGGACTGAACTATCTGTTCAGGACAACACAGACTCCCTTCATTCAAGGTTATCATAAAGAAAACACACAGTAAAACTATATCAAGGGACCTGCTGCTCGATCTGTACATGCAAAACCTTTTTAACTTGTCATGGGCAGCTGGTGAAAACAAATGTTTAAAGACTCCTGTGGCTTATTTTAAAGGGATAGTTCACCTTTTAAAATTCACTTATTATCCAATACGTCTGAAGTAACAAGTGACCACTGTTTCTAAACAACAGAAAAAAGGCATGAATGCCTCCGTGCTGCTCCTGTGGTTTCATCCAAGTGTCTGAAAGACAAAATTAAATTGGAAACGGCCTCATGTACACTCTTATCCTCCTCCAGAGCTTGTCCCGTGTGGATCACAGTGATATTTAGTGTAAAACTTGGTGTAAATTGAAGACACTTGGATGATGCCACAGGAGCAGTGTTGAGCCGTTTTATGTTTTTCTTTTGTTGTTTTTTTTACATTTGAAGAATTGGTCCCCCAGTAACTTCAATTGTATTGGATTTGTCTGCAACACTGTTGAACCCTAAAACCTAAAAAGTATTTTGTGGAATCAAACACTTCACCCACCCCCTGATCGGCATAGTGGTGAGTAGATAATGAGTGAATTATCATTTTTGCGTGAACTATCCCTTAAACTATCTCTGCAGTCACCCTTCATTCAAGGTTATCATAAAGAAAACACACATAGAAAACTGTGGCAAGGGACATTCAGCTGATTTTACATGCAAAACTTATTAAACTTGTCATTGGGAGCTTGTAAACACAAAGTCTCCCGTGGCCTTGGAGACTGTTTTCTAAGTCTGATGGGTTATCATAACTAGTATGAGACTTTCAGTTTGTCCCATTCACAGTTTGTGTTTGTGTACAAGGACATTATCAACAGAAAGCCCATCATTCGGTTGACAGCAGAGGAATAATGAAAGACGCTCTTTGAGCTGTAATGTGTTAAGTGTGGGATCTGTGGTTTGACCCGTACTTGTCCATATACAGCATTTTGATCCCTGATTTTTATTCAGGCATTTATAAATTATCTTTTTGCTTAATGGAAGTGCAATACAATACTGCTTGTGTATACCATACATTGGTTAAAAGGGGAAAACATAAGAAATATGCAGTGACATTTGTTCTGATACCAATATATTGACCAATGCACAGTATTATTATTCTTTGAATGGTAAAGATCACACAATTACAACCATTAGCGTTTTTTTTAGTACATCTCTTAATGTTGCTGAATTTTGTGAAAGGAAATATGCATTAAACTTAAAAGTGAGGGTAGTTACTGTCCAAAAGCCACTTTGCCACTCCTGTTCCTGGACTCCAAACCGTAGGTTGCAAAGTGGCATGTTGCACCATGGACTTTCCAAAGAAATTGTAGGTGAGAGGTGAATACTGGGGCTAGATTAAATGTAGTAGCAACAGAGTAGATGTCAACCAGTGTGATAACAGATGGAGTAAAATATAATTAAGCAATTAATAAACACAGCACCTCAGTGATAGATACACAAAATAATACAGTTTGAGGAGGCCGGTTTGTTTTCAAGTCAAATAGCATAATTGGAGTCCAGAGTTTGGACCTTTTTCAATCCAAAATGTGTTTAGGATTACTCTTACTTTTATGTATACTTCATATTGGTTGGTGTGTCAATAAAGACTGGCTAACAAAATAAAGTTTACTTTAGCTTGCAGCAGTTGCACCTGCCAAAAACCGGTGGTGCCACATCTATGCTCCTGCCAGCTATTGATCGTCTCCAGTCAGTTCACCCTAAAGGAAATCAAACACATAAAGGAGCAGACATATACTATTTAATTCTCCCTGCTGCACAAAGGCTGTTGCTGCTGTCGTCTTTCAGTCTTACACAAACACAGGGGAACACAGGGATTTTTACTGAATGTAACTTGTGCACTCTTCACCTACAATGTTGCATGTTTTGGAATTTAGCCTCAGCTGCTGTCCTGAACAGTGAAACACTGATAGATCAGACACAGAGTTACATGTGTACTTTGATAAGAAGAAGGATGAGAGTTTCCACACTAGACAGAAAGACGCTCTGCACGTTCACCTAAATCCCATAATTCACTCCAGGACTGAATGCAATCCTCCGACCTTTTAACCACTTTATACACAATCCACAGAGAGCCCTTTCTCTCTGTTTGAAGCATTTAAAAGACTTAACATGATTTGCGGTCTGCTCAGCATTATGCTGCTTAGCACTAGCTTTGTGTGTGTGGGATTGTGGGTTAAAAACTGCATGTATAAATAAAAATGAGTGTAAAAAGAATTTACCCCTTGGGGGATCAATAAAGTATGTCTTCTTCTTCTTCAGATCTGACTGCAGATCAGAGAGAAAGTACACATGTTAATTTCAGTCAGTTTTATGGAGTGAAAATAGATTTCTGACAGGAGGCAGCAGTTACATTGAAATCCACACATTGATTAACAGACAGAATGGTTGATATTGCACTACTGTTGTTCACTGCCTCATGTAGAAGTAAAACTACTGCTAAAAAGGCTGCCTGCATGAGGTGCAGTTCATTTATAGAAAGCTTCTAATGTGTTAAAGTCCACACACACATCCTTCTGGTAACAAGATCTGTCAGGTGGTGTGTGTGACAAGCTGAATTTTCCTCTGCTCATTGACTCAAAGCTTTGACTGCAGGAACAAAGGTTCAGCTGCATAAAGTGATGGTCAGCCTGAAAAGTTGCTGCTCACAGGTAAATAAGTGTCCCGGTGAGGAGTCGCCTCTAATTATTACTGCAACGCTGACGTCATCCCAGTTAGTTTAACTGCTGCTCCCTGGACTCTAATAACAGAGCAGTGGGACTGTGTCGAGGTATGTGACGCTGCTCATTTTCAGCTCTCTGTGTCCAATTTGAGCCCCCAAAATTAAAAACCATAAAACAAGACAGAAATGTTGTTGTTCTGGACTCCACATGAGGACCATTAAAAAAACATGGGTGTCTGTGCTGAATATCATGGCAGTTCATCCAATGAGCATTGACCACAGACCGCATATAAAGATGGACGAAATGATAGCTTCAACAAATGTGATGGTTCAAAAGTGTCCCCTGCTGGCTGGCTGCAGTGAAGGCCCTGCATCCTCAATGTTAATGGATGGGACACAGACAAAACTAAAAATTGTATCACTCTCATGTATGATCAAGTGCTTTTTTCCCCCAGTAATCAGTAATTTATTTGATGTTATAAAAAGGCGTGAAACATTATGATTGTCAGCTGAGACTGACTCGCAGCAGGACCTCTATATAACTATTGCCTGTTTGCCCTCCTTTTTTTAGAGTCATCTTGCTCAAGAGATTGTCAGCACATGGATGGGTTCATTGTGCAATTTGACTTGCATAGTTCAAACACATTGAGGAACAGATGAATAAGGAATTACCACTGTATGCAAACTCTTCATTATTGCGAGGTGTCATTGTACAAACACTGTTTTCTGTAAAGATTTGTTAATGTCAACATGAGGCTCTTTAGTTTTAGTTTTTCTTTAGTGACACATTTTTAAGCCTAGTGTCAATAAGTGTGTGACAGCAGTTAATGTTTTTCAGTTGTGTAGTGCCCGAGACGAACTGCCATGTGTGTGCAGCTTAACAAAATCCGCCCCCCCACATCTGGAGCAGGAAGTGCTCAGATTCTGTGCGTGCTGCCTAATGTCCAGTGAGATTAATCACCTCCAATCAATACTAACTCCTCTCAGCTCCTCTCTGTTTCCTCTCCTTCCTCTCAGGATATTGTCACGACAGAGTGACTTTCTATATCTATCTAATGGAAAATGACCGAAGATCGCAGAGGAGACAAAACCGTCTTTTTTAATACCTGTCTTAATTTCCGCCCACGAGGTTAAAAAAAATCTCTCGATCATTTTTTTTAGGATGTCTCGGCTGAGCGAGCAGATATGGGCCGACTGGATTTGGTTTCCTGAAGGCCACGGCTGGGCTGACCTGACGGACCGTGATGGCAAAGTCTTCCCTAAAATTCAGGACCTCTGGGCTACTATCCCCATCGCTCTCTGCTTCCTGGTCATCAGACAGATATTCGAGAGGTGAGTCAACATTTGTGTGATTTGAGTGTTTCTTCCTGACATGATTCGTAAGCAGCGTTTTCTTCATCCTGTGTATTTTCTTCTTTCCAGGACAGTAGCGACACCTTTGGCCTCTCTGCTGGGAGTGAGCAACAGACAGCGTGTTTGTGCTCCTTCAAATCCCACCCTGGAATCCTATTTCTGCAGCACATCAAAGCATCCCACACAGGTAGTAATCTTGCGTACTTCAGGAAACCAACATTGCTTCAGACTCTGTGTGTCCTCATGACAGAGGTCAGAGATGTTGTTTTAGGTGTAAATGGACAAGAATGACAGGATGATGGAAATATTCCCAGACGACCTTAACTTCATGACAGCACTGTCTCGTCTTTTCTCTCCTTGTCCTGCTTTTGTTGCCAGAGCTCCTTAGAGAGTTTAAGTAAAACGGCGGGCTGTTCGGTGCGGCAGGTTCAGAGGTGGTTCAGGCGGAGGAGAAACCAGGACCGTCCCAACAAGCACAAAAAGTTTCGGGAAGCAAGGTAGATAAGCATCATTGGCACAATGTTGAAATTTCACGCTGTTGTATCAAGTTAGTGTAGTAATGCAGCCAGACGTAACAGTGTTGTGTATTTAACAGGATTTTGAAGAGGTCTCAGTGTGCTTTTACAAAAACTGTTTACTATATATTTTGTAAGGGTGCAAAAGGTTTATTACTGATTTAGTGTCTGCAGGAGGAGGGGACGAGTTAGTTCAAGAGAATTACCAAGTAACAGGACCAGAAACATGCATGTGCATTGAGTGTGCTGTTGTGAAGCCACGGCACTAACTGCTCTTACAAAACATAACAAATAATTTAAATGTTCTGTGTTGCCCATGGCCTGCTAATGGATTAACCAACCATTTAACCCCGACAACACCCAGAAACAGGGAGCAAGTAAGGTATTTCCCAAACGCTGTTGCGAAACACCCTGCAGTGACGGGAGGAGACGTTCAAGTGGAGAAATACTGCATAACACATCGAATGGAACTCGGCCGTGTCGCAACAGATTTCAGAAAGGATTTATTTTGACCACTGTGATTCAGGGTTTAAATTCCTGTGATATTTATTAGATATTTAAAATATAATACAAGACGTTTGATAAGGATGATTAATAAATGTCTTTTCATCATTTCATGAGTAATTTTGGGGGGCACTGATTTTTGTTTCGTTCACTTTTAATTCTAAAACCTTTACTTAAAACCGTGTCTGAGGTTCTACTGTACTATGGCATTTCTGAGATCACTGTGCATTCTCTTACAGTTGGAGATTTACCTTTTACCTTCTTGCTTTCTTTGCTGGCCTGGCAGTCCTTATTGATGTGAGTACCCTGTCATAATCTGGCATTCACCGCTAAATAAAATCAGTGTATGTGTGATTTAGCAATGTGAAACCCACTGGTCAAATTTAGAAACATTTTTATTGAACGACTTACCCCACTCTCAACCTGACTCAAAAATAATCACATAAATAATAAAAGTTCCCATTGTTGTTTCACACAAACATGGTTTTCCTCTGTATTCTTTGTGCTTGCAAATGAAAGTGCTTGTGGTTTTGTGTTGGACATTGTCATAAATATTAAATTTCTACCTCCCCTTCAGAAACCATGGTTCTCTGATTTGAAGCAGATGTGGGAAGACTTCCCAAAAATGGTGAGCCAAGTGCTACGACCTGAAACGACTCTTCAGCTAATTTCATATTTGAATACTTTCATTTTTATTATTTTTATGTATAATTCACAAACTGTGGATTACACTGGCTTCTATTTGTTTATCAATTTACTGAACTGACCAATGGATACAATTATTGGTGTCATGCTCTTACAAAAGATCTTACTTTTCCTTTGTTCCAGCCACTGTTGCCTTCTCAGTACTGGTATTACATGTTCGAACTAGGCTTCTACGTCTCGCTGCTTTTTAGCGTAGCATCAGATGTCAAACGTAAGGTAAGTGATGCAGCAATGCTTCCTTAACTTTGTTAGCCCTCTGTACTGTAAAACCCCTCAGCAGCCCTCCATCAAGAGCGATCACTCACTGACTAAGTGCATGAAATGGTCAGAATCAATGATCTGTTGTGTTGGTAGTGTATTTTGAGGTTTGAATATTGATTTCCCGACTAATAACTCCTGACTTTATGCATTGGATTGAGTGGAGCTTTCAAAATTCAGAGAGCCGTTAATGTTCATGTCTGCTCAGTGCGTCCGTTTTAACTTCACACCGAGCGAGCAACAAGCTGAACTGTGTCTCTCAGGTCAGGGATGTGGAGTTAATGTGTGACTGGAGCTCTGTGGGAAGTAAAACTGTGGAGAGACCGACTGACTATTTTATCCACAGCTCTGGTTGCTGTTGTAAAAGGTGGCAGACGTTCAAGCCTGTCAGCAAATCACAAGGCCTCGATTCCAGTGCTCATTTTATAACCGAGTTCACAAATGCAACAAACTAATCTTTTAAAACCAAAACAGCAGGACTTTACCGTAGAGCCACAATGTTTAAATCTGTCTCATATTTAAGGATTTGCTTTTTTTAAATACTTTTGAAGTTCCATTTTTTGACTCTGCATGTGGATTTAGCGTATTTTTATCTGCTATGTTTGGAAAGTTAATCATTTGTTAAACTGCATCAGTCCAACACACACTGTTGATTAGTGACCAATCTTTATAACCTGATCAATAAGTGACAACACAATGTTGCGTTTTGTTTTTACACCATCTCTCTAATTTACTCTCTGCAGGATTTCAAAGAGCAGATAGTTCACCACGTAGCCACCATCCTCCTTATCAGCTTCTCCTGGCTGGTCAACTACATCCGAGCTGGGACTTTGATCATGTTGGTTCATGATGCCTCTGATTATCTAATGGAGGTACGGCAAGACGCCAACATGGCAGAAAAATATAATCATCAAATTATAATTGTTTCATTTACCTCGTATTTTTCATATTGGTTTCATGATAACAGTAGTAAGATAAGAGAATTGTTCTCCTCATACGGTTCATACTGTCTGCCCTCTAGAGGTGAATACACGAAAGGTTCACACTCTCCTCTCTTTCCAGTCAGCCAAAATGTTCAACTACGCAGGTTGGAGGAAAACCTGCAACTTCTTCTTCACTTTGTTTGCTGCAGTTTTCATCATCACCCGACTCGTCATCCTCCCCTTCTGGTAAAACAATTATTTCCTACATCAGATTTACTGTGACAGTAATGACTCAGTGATAAAAACAGTAAATAAGTGCAGCACTGATAATTTCTTGGCTTTCTTTGCACACAAGTGAAGAAGAGACACTCATCCATTGAGAAAACACAAATTAGGTGGGAGGCAGCAGTGAAATACTAAGAGGTGTATCAGAATTAGCGTTAATACATTGAATTTTGCACACAGTCGTGTCCTTTTGAGTGTAAACATGCTTTTCATTTCAACATGCACTGATTCTAGTTTTTCTTTGCAGTAATTTTATTAATGTGTTCTACTGGAAAAACAACAGACACATTGTCTCCCCTCCTGACGCCTCTCAATGGGCTGTGGAATGTGATTGAAGGTGGCTCTCACTGGATCCTCTGTTCTCTGTGTTCTATTGTCCAGGATCATACATACAACGTGGGTGTACCCCCTGACACTCTACCCCCCCTTCCTCGGCTTCTACTTCTTCAACGGGTTACTGCTGGTGCTGCAGGTCCTTCATATCTTCTGGGCTGTGCTCATCTTGCGGATGGTCGTCAAATTTCTGCCAGGAAATGTAAGAACCACCACTTTCGAACTTTTTGTCAGCTCAAACCAGTTGCTGTCCAAAGTCTAAGTGTCTTATTGTTTTTCCCGACAGGACATTGTTGAGGATGAGCGGAGTGACAAGGAGGAGACGGAGTCAGAAGATGAAGATGAAGGCGGCGAGTGGAAGGGAAAGTCTAAAAATGGCCACATTCAGAACGGCCATACGCCACTCAACAACAACCTCAGGAAGAGGTACTGATCAGACAGCGAGTGGGTGGAGATGATGCCGTGTGACGAAGGGCCCTCATGTGTGGCCCTCACCTGAAAGCCAAAGAATGGGCATGTTGAATGGGGCAGCAGGCAGCACCCCCCCACACACACAAACACACACTCACACTCATATAGCTACCCCCCTCCTTTCTGATAATTTCCCCTCTGTGGATCAGACTAAAGTTAACAGAGAGAGGACGATGTCTGGAGAACCACAGTGATGTTTTCTTGTACAGCAGCAGCAGAGTGGTTTTCTCGTTCCACGTGCCTTCTCCTCTTTTCCTTCCACTTAAGTGTAATTTGCTTTTTTCCAAGATTTTCTGCTGTTGACCAAGTTGCCTGCTTCTAGCTTTATGTTTTGTTCCTGGAAGACGCAGTGGTTAGGACGGGCGTTCCCCTCCTGCGATCAGTTAACACTCTTCCAAGTATTACTGCTCTGAACGAGGACTGATTTATTTTTGCTCTCTAAACCACACTGAAGTCAGTGACATTGTGAGGAGCACGGAGGAGAATGAGGCCTTGTCTTTGGACCATAAGCTGATGTGAGTCTTTTTACTGAAATGTCCATTCATGCTTAATTTGTGCATATTGGTTTTTGCACATGCCGCTTCGTCACTTCGGTTCTTGACAATGATTTTGAGTCAGTGTTGCTAAAAAAAATATATACATATATATATATATATATATAAATATATATATATATGTGTTCTGGTGATGTTTAAAGCAAAAAATAATTGGTATAAATAATATTTTTTTAACCGTACGAGAAGGTGCCACATCTGCCAGGCGTGTTGAAGAGTGCCTAGAGTTTGTCTTAATGTGTTTCGCCTCATTGGCAGCAGAACACACAGAGATCCTTTTTAATTGTTTGTTTGTGTTTATGCTTCATGTCTTGTTGTTTGATTTTTATTTTTACTTTGCTTTGTATTTTATTTGTTTTTTCCGTCCAGTAAGATTTTGAAGCAATTTGTTTAAGTGTAACCCAAACCAATCAGTAATCATGAATTCTTTATGGGCTGGAAGAGTCAATAGCATTTCCATTCAGTGTTGTTTCTCCCACCCATCCAAAGATGCACTTTATGGTTTATTCTATGGATCAGCTTTGACTACTTATCTAGTAAACAAGCTTAGTACATGTGTTTGATTCAAACTCAAACTTAACTCATTTTTTAGTTTTGAGAGTTTTCGAATATGATTTCAATTTAGTTTAATATTTATTGTCATTATTACCCAAGTTCTTCCTTTTTTTTTCAGTGTTTTGGATCTAGAACAGTTAAATGAAATCTAAAAATGAAAACACCAAAGTATGGTTTACATTATTTTGTATGACCTCGTCATTTCAAGTGCCTTCATCATTTCAAGTGACAGCTGTAAAGACAAAAATAAAAAACACAATTTCTGTAGATTTTGTCATTATTTCTGCCTTCTCTCTGTGCCCGACATGTTCAACACTGCACTGTCACGCTCCGGGCCTCTAACATCTCTGTGCAACTCGGAAACAACCTATCACCTGTAGCTACCTTTTAAAGTGCCTTGCTACTACAGAGCATGTTTTTATCCTGCATTGTGTTTTGCTCACATGTAAAATTATAATTATCAATGATAAAGATACCTGTGGTTAACTTCTGTGCATACTTGTCTCGTTCTTTGGATTTTAATCTTGAACGACAGTTTGACAGCTCTGGTTTCAGGTGTTTAACGATGAAATCATGTGTACGGTGAGGAAAATTAAACAAAATAATAGCAAGTGAATGAGTAGAAATAAAACTCACTGGGAAAAAAAAAACCTGGTAATAGCTTTTTTTAATTCTACCCAATTAAATTTAAATTGTGAATGTCCCTTATTTTGATTGTGTCATTAATTTCAAGAAAAATATATAGTTTTGTGTAAAGTCATTTATTTTGGAGAGAGCAGCATAATTAAACATCCATGATTCAGAGGCTGAGAAATGTTGGTACCTTCGTAAAAACACTTGTCTGTCGCTGTGTAAATCGAGTAAGTTCCGTTTTATCCTGAGCACCGCCCGTCAGTCACTGCTTCCACTTTTGCAGATTGCACCGTGGAGCTATAACACTATCAGATGGCAAAGTGTAGTGGTGACACGCTGAGCAGCACCTGGCTGGCACACCTCTGGGATGATGTTGCCAAAAATGTCTCAAGTGATTGTGGAAAAATTATCTCAGAGTCTTCAGGTGGTGGAGATGTTGTTTTCATGGAACTTGGAGAACTTTCTCTTCCATCCTTGAAAAGAAACCAGTCCCTGTTTCTGTGCCACTCAGTTGGCTGCAGCCTAAAAGGCCTCCTGGGTTGATTGCATGTATGGAGTGGGATCACTTTACCCCTGTGCCCTGCTCTTCCGCCTCCACACTGTTCTTGTCATTGGCAGCCCCACTGTAACAATCTCCATTTTAAAGTGGCGGGGTCAATTTCCACTCTGCTCTCGCATCTGGCTCTACAATTTAATTGCTAATGCATCTCCTGTTTCTCCAGCTCCGACGTCTGGGCTTTCCTCTCCACGCCCCCCTCCTGAGTCCCGTCTTACCCCTCCCTCTTTAAATCTTTGCCCTTCCTCTCTAATAAACTTCTCCTCCTCCTCTTTCTTGTTTTTGTTGTTGTTACCTTTTCATCATCTTGTAATGAATAAGACTCAGTGTCGCCTCGGGTGCCTGAGTTGTGGTGGTGAGAAGTCTAATTGGTGACAGGGATGATGGGTCATCTTGACAGGAGAACAAAAGGCGTGGGGTGTTTGATTCGCTTGTGAACTTTGTAGACCGTTATTCAATTCCTGCTTAAGTATTAATAAAGGCTTTACGCGCCAGGGGGAGGATGCAAGGTGCAAGTGTGTGTGTGTGCTGTGTTTATGCAAGGGTGTGTGTGCGTGCAGGAGCTAACTCACGGGCTGCTCATTTTTCCTGTGATGATGATTACTGGGGAACGGTTAAGACTTTGGTAACTGATGAGTGTCTTATGTAACCGTAGCAATAAGGACCCTCAGAGGGAAACAACAGGAGAGTTTTGATGAAGAGACTCAGCACAGGAAGGATGGTGAGGTTTCAAATAATATCTTTATCTTGTTTTAAAATCAGATTAGAGTTTGAGTTTCTGTTTTGGTGAAAGACCTGAGAGGGATTGTGCTTATTCACAGAAGGAACAATATGTTTTCACAGCGTTGACTTGACCAGTAAAGATGAAAAGATTATTTGAGATTATTATTCACATACAGTTGTTTTAGCGATAGATTGTTTTTTTAAATCTTCTAGCAAAACTGCAGAGAATCTCTCTTGTTTGTCTTTTATTCATCCCACGTGCGTTTAATCCAAATGTTTTTTGGACATTGTAAATCGAGATCCAGGCTTTCCAGGATATTGCAGTTTTAGTTTTGTGATGTATCATACAGCCATGATTATTAGGAATTTAACTGGAATTAAGTGACTAAGAAAATCACCGAATCTGTCAAATGTCAGGTAACAATCAACAATCTGAAATTTAACAACAGATGAGAATTCATAATGAGAAATGACAATGCGTGTATTTATCCCCTTTGCTGTTTATGCCATTTTTTTATTCAAGTTACTTATATTACAAATAATTACTTAAAAACAAACGCATGATGAGACCATTAGACTGAACCTGTGCCCACAAACTTTAGTTTCGGTTCCTTGTCACATTTCAGATGTCAAGACAAGTTTATCTATAAAGCACAGTTGACCAAATTGCTGTATGATAAAAACAAAGAGAGAAGTGCAAGAGAAAAGTAAAGATAAAATAAAATAGAAAGAAATGACATAAAATGTGAAAAAACTAAAATTGTGTATAGCTTTTCAATTTTCTGTTTTATTGTAATCAAACTGTCTGATGTCCAAAGTATATAATAATTCACAAAAAGCAAAAATTAGGAAAAAGCAAATGTGTGCAGCAGAACTTTAACTCAGATTGAGTTGTGTGGTTAGTGTCTCTGCTTTTAACAGCACTGGTTTAACTTTCTTCATCCCTGTGTGTCTCTCTGATTCATATTTCTGCCATTAAGTCATCACGATCATCTCAAGAGCCCACGTGCACACTCGTGTACTGTCCCTGATCCGGTGGAGTTGGATTAACAAAGCAGAGGCTGACGGGAGCATCCTCAGTCACCACAGTCCACATGGACCAGGCTCCTCGCCCTGCGACACAGTTTGAGGTGGACGTGGACCTGGGCTTCGCTCTCTTCTTCCTCGCCCTCCTGTGCTTCTTCCTGCTGGTGACGGTGGTGCGATGTGCCCAAACGGTGGTGGACCCTTATGGCTCCATCTCCACCTCCACCTACCAGGAGGAGCAGATCACCTGAGGGAGAGCAGAGTAAAATGACTCTGCAGAAGCAGATTTGCTCATGCACTCTTTTTGCTGTGTGTTTTCTGACCATGCAGTTCTCAGTGGATATGATGTTTTTATCGCTCACAGGATTCAGGACACTTTAGAACCAAAAGGAAGCCAATTTCCCTTTTATATCTCTTACTATATAATTCTTTGTAAAGAAAATAACAAGGTCTGTAATGTAGGAAGGATATTTTTTCAGCACAACATTCTCCATCTGAATAAGTCTGCAACTGTCAAGTTACATGAGAATAAATATTGATTGAAAAGACCCAAACATGCATTTTCTGTCGGTTGTGGCTGGATTGCTGAATAAAACCTGGTCTAAAGCGTCAGGGACGTTAACCCGCTGCCTCTGTTTGAAATGGAAATAACAAGATGAACAGTATCAAAGAGCTCAGTCAAAGATAAAGATATAATATTGCATTTATTGCTGTAGGGGAGTAGATATTGATATGGACACTCAGGACACATCCTCAATATTAAGATCACGATCAGTACTACAACCATTAATGACAAGGTTTGAGGATTTTCTGCAAAACGTTGGGGGAAAATTGAGATACAGGATTTTACATGTTTATTTTTTTGGTACTATTTTCAAAATAAAATCTGTCATGTCATGATCTCTATCAATGAAGAATAATAAAATGTCTTAATTAAATTTCATGCACGTCAATTCACCAAACATGTTCAATTTGAGTAAAAGAAAAAAAAAGAGAGTTTGAAAAAGTGCTCATATTATTTTACACATCTGACAAAATGTATCCTGAACACTTCAGTTTTAGTTCATATTAAGGTTAATCATGCATTTATTAGTTTTGAAATAATAATACACCAAACACTGATAATAAATATGAACACAATGAGAATATGAATAAAACTAAAAAACTAAATGTGCTTTTGAATAAACTTGATTTATTCATCTTTCCTAATTCCTTGTGTGACTGGCTCCCAGTACCACGCCACGCCGGCAGGTGGCGGTGGAGCTCGAAGAAGAACTGAATTTTGAACTTTGAACGACCAAAGCTAGAGAAAAGTAAAATGGCGGAAGCAGCGATGTTTTGAAGGAAGCTGAGGTTTTTTTTATTTTCATATCGCTTCACACATTAATGATCCGTCTGAGCAGACGTACCGCGACCTTCTCCACACGACAACCAAGCCGTTCCAATGCTAGCATGCTGTATTAGCTCCGTAGCTAATGAAGCGCGTGTTTATCATCACAGTATCACAACACGATGGTTTTTACGGCGATGTGACGTCAGCTGTTTGTAGTTCTGCAGCGGAAAAAAAACCAGGAGACAAGAACAGGTGAGCTGCGAGTGTTCCGGTGCTATCAGTGAGAAAGTGCAGCTAACATTAACCATACTGATTTCTTACCCTTTGTTAGCAATGACCCATCAGCGTTCAAACCTCATGACACCTGGTGTCTGTGGGATGAAACCTGTGCAAGACAAAAACTGTGCAAGACAAAAAACTGTGCAAGACAAAATCTGTGTAAGACAAAAACTGTGCAAGACAAAAAACTGTGCAAGACAAAAACTGTGCAAGACAAAATCTCTGCAAGACAAAAAACTGTGCAAGACAAAAAACTGTGCAAGACAAAATCTGTGCAAGACAAAAATCTGTGTAAGGCGTGTTTGAATCCTTCATCATAACAGTTTCCTGCATTGATGTCTGCTGTTGTTAACACATATTGTTAAACCACCATTATTTAAGTTAGTGAATTTCCAAATCACTGTCATTTTAATGTAAAGGTAAAGGTAAAGGTAAAAAGGTAAAATGTGTCACAACATACGATCATAAATGAAGTGTTGTGTTGCTACAGAGGTCAAACAGTCAATGGGACTTTGTTTGACACCGAGTGTCTCACAGAATAACAGCAGAGGTGAGATGTTCACACCTTCAACACGTCCTTCAGACTCAGGACCAGCAGGAATCACACACATGACTCAGACTGTTGATGAAGAGTGATGATGACGTGACAGCTCCTGGACTGTGGGAGGAACTGGAGATGTATCGGCCATATTTATACGCAGTCAATATATATTGTTAAATTCTACATCATTCGTTTCAACATGATATAGAAATCAGGGGAAAAACTATTTAATCTCTGATCAACATTGTTGAGTTCTCTGCTCTAGGTTTTTTTCTTTGTTTCACTAAAGCTTTTTTTTTTCATTGCAGAAAATATCTGACTCTCTGTGTGAGACCATGAATGAGACTTTGAGTAAAGCGACACGTTGGGAGATCGACTCTGATAATCGAATAAAAAAAGCAGTGGTGTTGTTGACCAGACTCCCAGATTATAAGGTCAGAGCTCTACGACCTCCGACGCCTACGCAGTTCTACAGTGAAGATGAGTCTCTCAGCAGCTCGGACTCTGATATGCAGTGGGAGCCAGGAGATGATAGTGATTCAGATTTTTCAGTCTCAACCAATAAACTGAAAGCGGTAAAACCGATAAAGAGTGACACAACGAGAGCACACGCAGCATCAACAAGCAGCAACAACAATGGTAAGCTCTCATACATCACCACTACCACTCACAGAAAAACACACAATGATTCTTAGTGTCAGGTGACTCCACACTAAGGAAAATATATTATAAATATTATATTTACATTTTTGATGATAGATCTTTCTAAATCCTTCACTCTGGAACTTTGTGTTTTTCCACAGGGACAGAAATGGTGCCCATCGTAGGTTTTGACCCTGACACGAAGGTCCGTCCTAACTTGCCAGAGGTAGAGCTCAAAGTGGACATGGTGGTACTGGCCAGGAAGAGGCCCATGATGTGGCAGCGGGGGAAAATAGTGGAAATAGTGACAAAGGGTAAAAAGGAAATGATCACAAACTTGTTAAAACAACAGCAGTGCATTTTGAGAGAACTGTGCTTTTCATCTTTATAATTAATTTCAAACCACATTTGTTTCTTTGCAGAAGATGGACGGTTAAAGTACAAAGTTAGTTTTGAAGAAAAGGGGAAGAGCCTCGTTTCTGGACACCACATCGCCTCTGACCCCACACCGACGCTGGAGCAGCTGTATATCGGCGCTCGTGTGGTGATCCAGTGTCAAAGTAACAAGTCCCTCTTCCGGCCGGGTATTTTAGCGGAGCTCCCAAGTAGAAAGAACCGCTTAAGGTGTGTGTCTCCTTACACTAATACATCACAACCTCAGAAGTAAAGGTTTGTAAAGGTTTAATTTGATTTATACACATTTTACATTTACAGGTTCTTGGTCTTTATGGATAATCACACGCCGGTCTATGTTAGTTTACCTCTTCTTCACCTGGTGTGCCGGCCATGTAAGTGTGTATGAAATGGTGCTTTTAACCTTATGGAGATTTTGTTCATATGTTCTGGATCATAAAAGTATTTGAGGATGACATTCATCCAGAGTGACTGTTTGTTTTGCGACAGTGGAGGACGTTCTAGAGAGCCTTCCTGACGACTGTCACAAGCAGTTCATGGAACGGTACCTTAAGGACTGGCCCTTCCCACATTTAACCCAGTACAAAGTGGGACAGACCATACATGTAGAACTGAATGGAGCCCAAAAGAGTTGTGCGGTGCAAGTGGTCGACTGCAGCTTGATACAGGTGGTTTTTGAGGTCAGTATCACTAAGATGGCTGGCGCTCTTATAATGTCCTGTCATGTCTGTGTGAAATGATTTGATCTAATGTGGTGTTTCTGTCTCGTTCTCAGGAGAGTCAACACGAGGAGTGGATCTACCGTGGCTCTGTGAGACTGCAGCAACACATGGCTAGGATATTGGAATCGAAGGAGAATGAAGGGAAGTGACTCATGAACAAAGGCCCAAAGATTCAATGAATTCCCATGAAATCTGGTGGAATGATGGGACATGAGTCAAGAAAGAACCCATTCAAATGGATTTGCACAAAGAGACAGACCCATGATGTTTTTTCATTCACACATATTTTATTATTATTTGTATTTGCTCTATTGTCCCCATTTCCAGAGAGATGTATTAAACATACAATTTTTTAAACATTATTCAAGTGTATTTTTTTCTGCTCTCTGGTCTCAATCCAACTGAAATTCAGTTTGTCTTATCCAGTAGACATAATCTCATGGATGTGATATTTCTCCGTAAGAAAACAAGATCCACATATTATCACTGTGTGCATGACTCTTTAATAAACACATGAAGGAAACTACACTGTAGGAGGAGATGTGAAATTATAAACTATATACTATATCTGTACTTTCTATTCCACTACAGTTTTACAAAGCATTGTGTTACATTTTCTAATTAAAAAAAAAAAGAAATCGATAATGAGAGAGGAATTAGTCCACTGATCCAATCTGTTGGAATGAGACAGTGCCAAGGCTCACACATGTGTGAGTGAATGATGAGTGGTCATGAAGACTAGACCAGTTTTATATAAATACCGACCATTTACTATAACTCATGATAACGAAAGTGTTTTCAATAGAATTCTTTATCAATGTGACATAGTCTTTATGTATATTTGTACAGTATTAAACATAATACACTCTAAAGGCACAGTAAATTGTATAGTTGACTTTTGCATCAGGGAATTGGCTAAACTAGAAAAAATACTTTTACTTTTAATAATTTAAATATATATTTAAAGGCAAGTGCTTTTACTCAAAAGTGGTACTTTCAACTTTTTTCTATTTATTTGTTTGTTTACTTAGTACTTCCTCCACCACTGCTGTATACACACTGTCAAAGAGACACAGACACATAATAAATATGTGTGTACTGTATACAAGTACACGTTGTTGGCCATGAGTTCAGACACTGGGGGGCAGCACTGAGCCTGTCCCGTTGTGGTGCAGCGCCAGGATAAGGCGAAGAAGACGCTGCAGTTGAAAACACGAGAAGCTGCTTGAAGGTAAGTTTCACTTTATTGCTCTTGAAATGAAAAACTCAGAACTTGCACAGAAGAAAACCATCATGACCGAAGATGAAGCGGTGATTGTGGTGGTTTCATCCCGGATCTCCTTCCCTGAAAGAGGAGGAGCGGCTCTCCAACGCGTTTCATCAAATAGTGTGTGTGTGTGTGTGTGTCAGATGATGCTTAAGTGTGTGTGCTCATTAATATTTCATTGTACGTTCACTTCGAAAATCAACTAAAGATTTCGAACAAACAGATGAATTAAAAAAAAATTAAATCATCTGATAACATATCAAAGACAGTTTATTTGTCTGGAAACCACAGTGATTCTTCTTTCTCTTTGTAAAGTCCCTGATCACTGCTACTTTATTTATGTGAGCAGCTTCTCTTCATGCAACACCTTTCAAAACCACAGTAACAAGGTGCTGCACAAACATGCAGAGAAACAGGAAATAACAGAAAATCAAACACAATAGAAGAAGCAACGAAACCATAAGGACTAGACCACAGAAGATAAAACACTAAAATCTAAAAAAGTTCACCAGCTACAATAATGAATCTAGAATTAGGTCAAATCAGGGGATGCAATGCAAAAGGCCTATTTTATACTATATCACATTATTGGCAGAGAACATTGGAACAGAACATATTATGTGGTGGTATGATATGCCATTAAACCATAGACTGTATATAGGGATTTAAAATTGTATCTGTTTATTTTTATGTGTGTGTTGCAGTGAGTATGGAGGAAGACGAGACGAAGATGAGCAAAGAGGAGTTAAGAAAGTGGATCAGGATGAACATAAACAAGAGCGGGCTGCTCCCCCCAGGTGTTCGACAGAAACACCACGAGCTGCAGTCACTGCTGGAGAGGAGAAAGAAAATGGCCGCCAATCTACTGAAGCTCCAAGAGTGAGTGTTGTATCTACACTATAAAGCTAATTCCCTGCATTTATAATATTTATATTGAGCCTGTTGTGGAGGAAAGTTTGACTTCAGCTCCAGGTTTTAGTTAAAAGGCAGACTAGTGGTAAATTGTAATGTCTACACTCAGGGACTTTCATAAATCCACTCCCCTCTGACTTGGAGCAGAGGTCAAGCAACTAAGATAAGAGCCACACACACACTCTACTAATACAACCACTATCTATGTCTTTGGACCATTTTAAGTGCCTCATATTTGTGTTCATTCATATTGTGTATATATTTTTTCTGCTTTTTATGTTTATGGTTCCTTTTACTGCAGGTTACTGTAAGTGTAAAATAAATTCCTGGATCAGCTCCCTAAACCAGAGTTTTGTGGAAATCTATTCAATAGTTTTAGTGGAATCCTGCTGGCAAACAAACAAACAAATGCAAAGTGCAAATCCTTGACATTCGTGTACGTGACATATTAAATTATGCATGAAAATGTTTGAATGTATGTAGATTACAGCATTTATTTCTATGTACTTTTCCTGATTCATTGTCTTTGGGTTAATGTCCTGATGTCCTGCAGGTCTGTGGCAGCGTGTGAAACGATTGTGCGGAAACAGTACTCGTTGCTGGGATGGGAGTACAGAGACACAGATTCTGATGATGACAAGAGTAGCGGTGGTGGCAGTGGTAAGATGCACGTCATTTCTAAATGAACTCTTCGTCCTTCTCCTCTTGGTTGTTGTCAATCTGGCAAACTGGCTTATTTTAGTGTCGTTGTTTAACCTGTGCTCTTTATGTTTGTAGGACATGTCCCTCCATCTCCGTGTGAGTCTGTTCAATCTGGGACTCAAGCCCGTCTTTCTCCAGCTGTTACTGGCTGTAATCCTCTGTTACCAAAGAAAGAGGGCAGTGAGAATCCGCCTAGAATCAGAAAGCGTTTTCGAATGAAGGAACTAGTGGTGGTCTTGACCAGACTGCCTGAATGGCAGATCCGTGATCTACGTCCACCAACACCTCCAATGTCCACCAGTGGAGATGAAAGCTTGGGCGATGCAAGTTCTGATGACAGTTGGGAACCAGAAAAAGAATCCAGTGATTTAGATTTGGAAAGTAATAACTCTGGATCCAAGAAGAGGAGGAAAATGTATCATGCGCCCAAGAAAAAACACGTGAAAAGGGAGAAAACCTGCATTAAAAGTGATCCTGGGAGCATCATTGACACATTGAAATCCCGAGCTAAGAAACATAAGCATAAGAAACGTAAGCAAGAGGGAAAAAATGCAACGAAAGAATTGTCTCCGCCTGCAAACACCAAAGGTAAAGTCCACAAATAACACAACATACGAAAACATGTGAACTCCTCAGGCTTTGTTGCAGATATATTGCACCTGTCATCAGAGCCGGCCCTAGCCTTTATGGGGCCTTAAGCAGAATTTGAGTTGAGTGGCCCCCAGCGCCTCAGTGCCACCAATACTCTTGACCATTGTCAACGCTCGATCATTCACACACAGTCAAACACAAATACACACTGTTCAGTGAAAGCAATGAACAGATGGAGACTTTTGAATAATTGTGGCAGTAAAATCTGAGTCCTTTATTGTCAATGTTCAACATTGTCACCAACATTAAAACAGTGAAAATTGTTTTAGCAGCTCTTCTTGTTACAGCAGCATTTGACTGATTTTAGAACAAGAAGCAAGAAGTAAAAATCCTAAGCAGATGTGAGGAGGAGTCAGTCAATCAATCAATCAATCCATGACTCTGTCTTGGAAAATTAGAATAATTCATTAGATATGCATTTTTATTTGGATCTTCCCCAAAGTGTCCTGTCTGTTTCATCACTTTTTCCTTTTGTAGCTCTCTGCCGATCTTCTGATGACGCCACTAATGACCCTCCCAGTGTTCCTCAAGCAGAGCTCAGTGTGAACATGAAAGTCCTGGCCAGGAGGAGGCCCATGATCTGGCAACGTGGGAAGATCGCCGAAATACTAATGAAGGGTTAGAATTTTTATAAAATCTTTTTAATCTATTCAGCAGCTCAACGTTTAACACAGTGCAACACGTTTGTTCTCTAAAATGTATTTATTTATGTCTTGGCAGAAGATGGGAGGTTGAAATACAAGGTTAATTTTGAAGGGAAGGGGAAGAGCCTTGTGTCTGCTCACCACATCGCCTTGGGACCAGTGTCAAGTGTGAGGCAGCTGTTTGTCGGTGCTCGTGTTGTCATCAAGTCTAAAGCTGACCGGAACTTCTACTACCCTGGAGTCCTGGCAGAGCTGCCGAGCAGGAAAAACAGAATGAGGTGTGTGTGTCTGTCTCTGTCTGTGCGTGATAAATAGAGATGATTCAGTTTTAACTGTTAAATTTCCTTTTTTCTTCCATTGTCCAGGTTCCTGGTCTTTATTGACGATCACACTCCGGTCTACGTTCACTTATCTGGTATTCACCTAGTGTGCCGACCACGTGAGTTTAGGTCTTTACCTATTAAAGTTGTCATTGTGGATTTATTTCAGTGACGAGGAGGAGGTGTGTCACCCATACACTGTAGAGTTTATACTTCTTGTACATTCAGCAGTAATCTGTCCTTTCAGTCACACCTAATGGTTTACGTGACACGTGTTGTTTTCTTGACAGTGTCGAACCCTCTTGATGATATTCCAGACGACGCCCACAAGAATTTCATGGAGTTCTATTTGAATAGCTGGCCTTACCCACTGCTGACCCGTCATCCGAAGGGAGATATCATCGAAGCGGAACATAACGGCGTCCAGAAGAAGTGTGAGGTGGTGATGGTCGACTGTAGCTTGATCCTGGTTGTTTTTCAGGTATTTTCAGCTGGATTCTTAATTTCCCCCCCCCCCCTCCCCCCCCATCTGTTATTGTTTAGATTGTGTCACTTACGGGGTTGATGTGTTCTCATGCTCAGGAGGATCAACATAAGGAGTGGATCTACCGAGGCTCCATGCGCTTGAAACACATGATAACGATGAGGCAGCAGATGGAGTTGGAAAAGAAGAAAAGTGACCAATCTACCACAACCAACCTCTAAAACAACACATGCAGTGATCTCTGGTGTTCTACTCGTCTCATGCATGTTGAGACTCACAGGTGCTAAATGGTTCTTCCTGGCTGTAATGGCGGCCAGTCGTGAAGCATTATTGTATTTAATTTGTAATTTTGTGTCTGTGTCTTCCTAAATAAAAACATTATTTACATTTGTTTTGTATGAAGAAAGCAGCAGCTGTTATCAAACTGCTTATTTTCACCAAGAAAAACATTTCTCATGTAAATAGTTTAACATTGTGATGACTAAATAAAAAATATCTGTCAAAATGTTGAGTTACTTTTCAAAGTTATTGAAAGATCACATTTTTACAGACAAGGGCATTTCAAGACAGCATAGTGGGTTGATGTTAATTTGCATCATGTGAGTTGTAAAAGATCCTGCATCTTAATCCTACCACTGATCTTACAGTTTTA